CCAGAGTGTTCCTTGGAGGAAAAAATGGTGAAGCTTCATCTTACCTATTTTGGATGTGTTATTAGGAGAGGTGATTCCTTGGAAAAGACTATCACGCTCAGAAAGACGGAACGTGAGTGAAGAAGAGAAAGACCCTTGAGATAGATTAATACAGTGTCTGCAGCAATAGACTCAAATGCGTCAAGAGTGACAAGGATAGCACAGGGTAGAACAGGGTTCAGATCTGTTTTTCACAGGGTCACTATCAGTCATAATCTACTCGACCACACTTAACAACAATAACAATGTATTCACATATATTCATGGTGGTTAATGAGTAGGAACAATATCACAATTATGTTTAACAACAATAAAAACAACAGTGCGTGTGTGCAGATGAGTCCCATGCAGGTGAGACCACGTGATCCACAGCATAACTGAGTAGTAATGATAGCTCTGATTGGTGCACCGAAGATTCTGAAAGTAAATCAGCAGAGAGCTTTAGCCTTGTTACGTATATTGATAAATGTAAGCTGTCTTCAGAAAAAAGTTTTTGTCATAGCTTCTGACAGAGATTATCCTATTTACAAAGTAATGTTTGCTCAAACGCTAACTGGATAGGAAGTCATTTTGGTGCCACTTCCTCTGACAGTGTCACCAGTGCAGTTCCTCCTCCCTCCAGGGTCACCTCTGACTATCCTGGAACCACACGGGCAGACTTACTAGCTGCCACCAAGACCACGTGGTACACAAGACCACAAACATTTATTATCTAGTCGTTTACAGAAGATATTTGCTCATCTCTGCTTCAAGGGATGTAAGAAACCTGGGTTTGTGAATCACTGAACAGTAAGGAATTGCTCTGACAACCCAAAGGTACGTGGTTCGAATCCACCCACTGCTATGTTGGAGAAAGATGGGCACTCCGCTCCCATGTGATATACTGCCTCTGAAAAACTGCTAGAGGGTCAGTTATGTTTGGTTTCAGCCTGAGAGTACACAACAATATTGATACTTTTATTCAACTGTCATTGGAGCAAGAAATTCCTCTTATAATAAGATAGAGAAATGCTTAGATTGGGCAGTGATCCTAGTAAATACATTAGTTTGAAAGTTAGTTAGAAAATGTGTTAAGAACGTGGCCTGTGTAGCTAGCATATGAGTCTACATTGATATACCAGATACATAGCATCTTTCATACTTTGGACATGTAGCGAGGCAAAGCTACTCCTTGGAAAGGGACGTCATGCTTGGAAATAAGGAGGGTCAGCGAAGGAGAGGACGACACCCAGTGAAGAACAGAGAAGCTAGACTTTATGAAAAAGAGATGGGTTGACACTGCGACTTCAGCAGTGGACTCTAGTGTCTCAGAGATGGTGAGGACGGCACAGGATAGGGCAGGTTTCAGGTTAGTTCATAGGGTCATTCTGAGTTGTACTGGATTAAAAAACATTTAACAATGACAAAAGCTCATCATTGAACAACATCATAGCTCAAAGTCTTACTCAGAGATGTTGTTGTTGTGTACCATAGAGTCAGAACCGACCCATAGTTGACCCTCTAGTGGGTTTTCAGAGACAGTTAATTGCACAGGAGGAAATTGCCTATCATTCAGCTGGCCTCGAACCATGTTTCTTCAGGACTGAAGTGCAGCTTCTTGCCATTAGGCCACCAGAGCTCCCTCCCTCAGAGATATTAGAAGAAAACTTTAAATACTCAAAGCTACTGCTATAAACCATCCAGAACACATAGAGGATCTACTTAGCCAAGAGAAGACAAAGACACTCACTGAGATGAAATGGCACAGTGGTTACCACAGTGGATTTGAGCAAAACAGAGATGATAAAGACGGCACAGGATAGGACAAGGTTCAGATTATTGTTCACAGGGTCACTGTGAGTCATAGTTGATTTGACATGATTTAACAACAGCAATGACAACTTGGGCAAATGACCTACCTTGGAAACATGAAGTCAAGAAAAATCTTTTGAAGTTTGGAAACTATTTATGCAATTAAGGAAGTTGTTCAATACTGATAAATATACCCTCAGTGTCCTGATGAGACAGATGCTGCATTAAAGAGGCCAAGGATGCTGTAAGTGCTAAAGGAAACATCTGTGAGTCACAAAACGGTACCTTCTCTTCCTGAGGGCAGCGGCAAAAAAAAAAAGGCCCCAGGAAAATGATGGATTGATAACTAAAGTGTGTCAACAGTCCAGTGTAGCCCTGGATATACTCACTAGTCTATGCCAAGAAATTTGGAGGACACCTACCTGGCCAGCTGACTGGAAGAAATGAATATTTGTTGCCATTTTTTTTAAAAGATGATCCAACAGAATGTGGGAATTATCAAACAATGTCATATGCAAGTAAAATCTTGCTGAACAGTATCCAAAAATGGCTGGAACGGTACATCGACAGAGAAATGCCAGAACTTCAGGCTAAAGTTAAAAGAGGCTCTGGCACCAGGGACATTGTAGATGTCAGACGGATCTTAGCTGAAAACAGAGAATACCAGAAGGATATATTTTATTGACACAGACAAAGACGGTGTGGATCATAACAAACTGTGGCTACCATTGAGAAGAATGGGAATCCCAGAAGACTTAACTGTGTTTATGCAAAACCTTAGACCAAGAAGCCATTGTTCAAACAGAGCAAGTGAACACTGCCATGATAGTCAATCAAGAAAGGAGTGCATCAGGACTGTATCCTTTCTCCATATCTATTCAATCTGTATGCTGGGCAAAAAATTTGAGAGGTTGGACTTTATGGAGAATGTGGCATGAGGATCAGAATGCTAATCAATAACCTGCATTATGTAGATGATAAAACCTTGCTTGCTGAAAGTAAAAAGGGCTTGAAATACTTGCTGCAGAAGATCAAAGATTACAGCCTTTAATATGGATCACATCCCAACATCAAGAAGACAAAATCCTCACCCCTGGACCAATAGGCAAGATTGGAGAGAAGACTGAAGCTGTCAGCAATTTTATCTTGCTTGGACCCACAACCAACACCTTTGGTATGAGCAGTCAACAAATCAGCTGGGACAATCAAGAGCAATGATGTCAGTTTGAAGACTAAGGTGTGCCTGATTCAGGACATGGTCTTTTCAATGACTTGTTAAGCATCTCAAAGTTGGGACAACTACTAAGCATGAGAGAAGAATCAATGGCTTTAAGTTGTGATGGAGAAGAGTATTGACTATGCCCTGGGTTGACAAAAGAACTAATAGATATATCTTTTGGAGAAAGTGCAGCCAGGGTGCTCCTTGGAGACCAGGATGGTGACGCTTCACATATTCGGGAATTAATTTTGGGCTTGGAGAAGGACACCATGCTTGGAAAGGCGGTGGACCAGCAAAAACGAGGAAGACCAACAACCAGATGGATTGAAATACTGGCTATACCCATGTGCTCAAGTAAATCAGATGATGAGAATGGTACAGAATACGGCCAGGTTCAGATCCATTTGTTCATAGGTCAGCGTGAGATGAAGTCTAATCAAGGACTCTTAACAATACTGTGGGGGTATATAATTTTCTCCCTTCACCTCTTCCTATTCTATTATTATCATGTGTCTCTTATGTGAGTCATCACGCAGTAAACTGAGTCCACAACCAACCGAGTTCCAAGGTGCAGTTTGAAAATCACTTCCCCACAGTCCTATCACAGTATTTTAGCAGTGACTAATATAAGAATTTTTTTGCTCATTTATTTCACTTTGGAAAGAACCGACATACTAGGAAACAAGTAATTTGTAGCTTGGTTTTTGTTTTTGAACATTTGCTGCCCCTTCCCTTTGCTGTAAAAGGCATAACAATCTGCTGGGTAAAATCGGAAAGGCTCTTTCATCTGGAGGGGTTTGGGTAAAGCTTTGTTCTTGTCAGAGTGTTCTGTGGAGTTGGAACAGACTCACAGCTGTTTTCAGAGGCAGTAAATTGCAACAGAGGAGACTGCCCATCTTTCCCCCAAGGAGCAGCTGGTGGATTCGAACTGCTGCCTTTGGGATAGCAGCACAGGGTTTCTCACCCTCATGGAGAGGCCCTGGGGTGCCAAGAGGCCAGGGTTTCTTCAAGGACAGAATAGAACCTGGGCTCACAGTGAGCCTCTGCCCAGCCTGGCTGAGCCCACAAGTCTGACCGGGCCACCTCCTGCCCTGGTCAGAGCCCTCACTCCCCCTGCAGCCCAGGTCCCCGCCTGCTCCTGCTGCCCACTCCACCAGCCACACTTGGGTTCCAGACCCCCGTCCCTCTCTCCTTGCCCGACCCCCACACTCCCCATCCTAGGCTGCCCTCCCCCCTCCACTATGCCCGTACCTCCCCCGGGCCCCTGCCTAGTACTTCCCCTGGCTAGCCTGGCAACCTCTCCCCCCACACTTCCAAGTGCAGGGCACGCACGATCCTCCGGCCAGGGCCCACTCTGACCAGGTCCCATCCTTGGCGTCGGGTTCCCTGACCTCGCTCATGCCCCAAGGCCCCTTCCCACCGACCCCGACCCTTCCTCCTTCTCCCTGCCCCGCCCCTCAGGCTGCTTCCCCAGCACAGTGACCCCTGTCCCCTCCCCCCATCTCCCCGCCCCTCGGGCCGCAACTCTTGAACATACACCCCCCCCTGCTCCCTCCCCTCTCCTGTCCGTCGGGCCGCAGTCCTGGCATACTGACCCTCTGCTCCCTCCTCCTCCCCTCTCCTGCCCGTGGGGGCCGCAGCCCTTGCACACTGACTTTCTGCCCCCTCCCCCCTTTCCCTTCTCTCTCATGCTCCCGTCAGGCCGCTGCTCTCGCACACTGACCTGCTCCCTCCCCACTCTCGTCCTCTTCCCGTGTCCCTCCCCTCCCCGGCTCTTCTCTCGCCCCTCCCTCCAGGCCGCAGTCCTTGTACACACTGTCCCTCTGCCCCGCCCCTCCCCGCCCCTCGAGGCCATTTCCCCGCCCCTTTCCCCGCCCCCAGCCGCTCCGCGCCTGCTCAGTGCGCACGCGCGGGGGGTGGGGCCGGCCGCGAGCGCTCGAGCATGGCGGCGGCGGCGGCTCTGGGCAGCTCGTCGGACTCGCCGTCCGCGGCCGTGGCCGAGCTCTGCCAGAACACCCCGGAGATCTTTCTGGAAGCCTCCAAGCTGCTGCTCACCTACGCTGACAACATCCTCAGGTGCGGCGGGGAGCGGGCGGGACAAGGGGCCGGGGGCGCCGGCGTGGCCTCCGAGGGCAGTGGGCAGGAGGGATGGGACCCCAGGACCCCAGGACTCCTGGGACTCCCGAGACCCCCTGGACCCCAGGACCTTAGGACTCCAGAGCCTCAGGACCCCAAGACCCCCAGGATCTCTGGACCCCAGGACTCCCTGGACTCCAGGACCCCAGGACCCCTAGGACCCCAGGATCATAGGACCCCAGAACTCCAGGATCCCAAGACCCCAGGATCCCAGGACCCCCGGGACCCCAGGCCACACCCCCGAGGGCAGGAAGTTCCTCCTCCCGGTGACTCGGCATCTGGTGTTGGGGTGCGCGGCGGGGAAGGGGCGCCCCGACCCCGGTGTGCGGACGTTGAGCGGTAGTGCCCACCGCCGGGCTGCACAGGGTCCAGCGCCGGAACGCCTGCTTCCCACGGCTGCCCGCCTGCCGTTCCTGCCCGGCGTCCTGGGAAATACTCTAAAGCACGATCCGTGTACTACGAGGGGTTGGCAGGGCTTGGTTTTCCATTTTCTGCGTTTTTCCTGCCCATTTTTGTCGGCTGCATCATTACTAGCGGTTGTGATCGATTGTGATCGGAAAGCTGCCCTGACCATGGTGGTAATGCCTTGTTTGCTGCACCTGACTCCTTGGATAATTAAGAACCGGTGAAGTTAATCACCTTGGGCGAGAGAAATCGATGTCATGAACCGAGGAGATGGATACAGGGCTGAAGTTTTAGGGGTCGGGAGGCAAGGTTGATGGTTGGGATTATTCATTTTGAATGGTTACCCACCTGAGCCCCAGAGACGGAATGGTGTCGTGTCTTAAGGCCGGATGGTGAGCTGAGTAAGAGGAGCAGGGTTACAGGTTTCAGGCATCAAGCCCTTTGCTACGTTACCTTATATTTATCAGATCACCGATAGGATTTCAGCTTCTTTATACCCCTTAGTCTTTGGGGCACTTACTCTTCTAATTATCACATATGAAGAGGAATTTCTCGCAGTTCCAAGGTTTATAGATTTTACAGGCTTGATTCTGGAGATAGCCCTTCGAGGCACAGTATTTGATCCATGATAATAATAATGTTCGCTTGTTGCCATGAGTCGAGTATGACTCCTAGTGACAACAGATTTGAACCCTGTCCTATCTTGTGCCATCCTCATCATCCTTGATACACTTAAGCCCATTGCTGCAATCTGTGGGTCAGTCCATCTCACAGGATTGAGGGTCTTCCAAGACTTTGCTCCCCTTCCACCTACCAAGCATGATGTCTGTCTCCAAGGAATAGTCTCTCCTAGCAACATGCCCAGAGTATGTGAGATGAAGCTTCACCATCCTTGCCTCCAAGGAGCACCCCGGCTGCACCTTCTCCAGGACATATCTGTTTGTCCTTTTGACAGTCCATAGAGTATTCTGTACTCTGACACCACAACTCGAAGGCATCAACTCTCCTTCTTTCATCCTTCTTCATTATCTAGCTCTGAGCAGAATAGCAAGTGATTGAAAAGGCCATGGCCTGAATCAGGCACTTCCGTCTTCAAACTGATGTCACTGCTCCCGAGTGCTTTGGAGAGGTCCTTGATAGTGGACTTTCACAAAGCAGTATGTCTCTCCTGACTGCTAGTACCCAGGATGTTCATTGTGGACCCACGTAAAAAGAAATCATTGACAATTTGAATTTTTCCTCCATCTATCAAAATGTTGTCTCTTGGTTCAGTAGTCAGGATTTTTGTCTTGATGTTGAGGTGCAATCTGTATTGAAGGCTGTAGTCTTTGGTTTTCTGCAGGAAGTGTTTCAAGGCCTTACTTTGACCAAGCAAGGTTATGTCATCTGCGTAACACAGGTTGTTAATGAGTCTGTCTCTTATCTTGATCCCTCAATCTTTTACATAGAGTTCACCTTCTTGAATGATTTGTTCAGGATACAGATTAAATAGGTGTGGAGAAAGGATGCAGCCCTGACACACAACTATCCTAATTGTAAACTATGCTGTGTTTGGACATCAGCTTCTTACTCTAGGTATTGATTTCATGTGAGCATAATTAAGAGCTCTGGGATTTCCATTTTTCTCCGTGTTAGCCGTAGCCAATGTTTGTTGTGATCCACACAGTCAAAAATGCCTTTGCATAGTCAATAAAACACAGATAGAATTTTTTTTCTTCTATTATCCTCTGCTCTTAGCCAGGATCCATCCATCCAAAGATTGTTTACTTAGATTATGTTTTTAGGTAGTGCTTTAAAGAGATCCTGAAGGAAAAAGATACTGAGCCTTTATTTCATGCCAGATACTATGAAGGATACAGCTTATGTACTGGGACCACCTTCCTCCTCTGCGGCACCTTTTGAACTCACTTTTTTGTGCTGAGCTGTCTTAACAACTCTTGAGATGACAAGGATACGAGTGGACTCTGCGTGAGCTGGAAAGTCTTGCTCCATCAGCCGCCAGACTTTAAACCACCTTGTTCCGAAATAATGGGAACTTTCGCGTAGTGGCCTAGGGGTAAGGAGCTGTCAACCCAAAGTTTGCAGTTTGAATCTCCCAGATGCTCCAAAAGGGGTCTCTGGTCACTCAGTGGTAAAGAATTGTGCTGCCAGTCCAAAGGTAAGAGGTTCGAATCCATCCCCTGCTCCGTGTGATTTCGCGCCATTTCAGAAAACTCATAAGGAAGGTTCGCTGTGGCTTGGTTCTGGCACAGAGCAACTGCACCGAGGGAGAAAGGTGGGCAGTCTCCTCCTGTGCAGTGTAAGTTGTTGTTACGTGCCATCGAGTCGCTTGCGACTCATAGCGACCCTGTGTGCAATAGCCCTAAATGCTGCTCTGTCCTGTGCCAATCGCGCTATCTCCGATACGCCTATCCCAATTACCCCAGTCACTGAATCAGTCTACCTCATAGAATGTCTTCCCCTCCTGTGCTGTCCCTCCACCCTATAGCATGATGACCCTCTCCAAGGACTGGTCCCTCTTTGCAACATGTTCAAAGTATGTTAGACGCAGCCCCAGAATCCTTGCCTCCAAGGAGTAGCTCGATTTAACCCTCTCTAGTAAGGAGAGACAGGTCCTTCGAGAGGGACATCATGCTTGGTAGAGTGGAGGGACAGCGCAGGAGGGGAAGACCCTCTATGAGGTGGATTGATTCAGTGACTGGGGTAATCAGGATGGGTGTGTCAGAGGCAATGCGATTGGCACAGGCTAGAGCAGGGTTTAGGGCTGTTGTACATAGGGTCACTATGAGTCACAAACGACTCCACGGCACATAACGACAACAACAACAGGATGAATCTGTTTTCTTAGCAGTCCACGGTACATTCAGTGCTCTTCTCCAACACCACAGCTCAAAGGCATCAATTCTCCTTCTGTCCTTCCTAGTCATTATCCAGCTCTCTGACGAATAGCAAATGATTGCAAAGACCATGGCCTGTATCAGATGCACCTTAGTCTCCAGAGTGACACCATTGCTCTTCAGTACTTTGCAGAGGTCCTTAACAACAGACTTTCGCATTGTAATATGTCTTTTAATTTCCTGGCTGCTGGTGCAATGTATAGACTCGGGGAAAAATGCACTGGACAGTCGGCTATGAAGTTGATACCAACTTGAGGACAGTAAACAACAATAACTCAGAAAAGGGAGGAGTCCTGGTGGTACTGTGAGTTGAGCATTGCGCTAACATAAAAGGTTGGAAATTTGTACATACCTTTGACTCCACATGAGGAAGGTGAAGAAGCCATGTGCTTCTGTCAGTAGACGCAGCCTCAGAGACTGTCCTGCTGTGTCCTGTAGGGTCCCTGTGAGTTGGAGTTGATGGCAGCAGATGTTTGGAAGAGGGGTGGTCTTGTAATGAAAAATCATTTGCTTTCAGTTCTGTGAAACCAAAAATGAAGAGGTCACATTGCTCTGAAGAGGAAAGCCGTTGGCGGGATAATTGTCATCGTGAATGTTTATCAGACGTTTGAAGGAGACTTAGCTTGCTGTCAGTTCATGAGACAGGCCTTACGGTGATTTGTGCTTCAGCTCGTGAAATCTCAAAAGGATGTGGAACTTACATAAATGGAGATCCTATTTCAAAACACTGTTCTTTTTAGCTAAGGTGATTATTGTTGTTTGATGCCGTCGAGTCGTAGACGACTCATAGTGACCCTATGAACGAACAGCCTGAGCACTGTTCTTACATAGTTTCCGGAGGCAAGCCATTTCGGAAGTGGATACCACTCCTGTGTCCAGGCTTGATTTAGTCGGGAAGCTCCTGCCAACACTGTCCACCATGGGTACCCATTACCACGATGGCACATCAGTGTCACAGTGTTCAGCATCACAGCAACCACGAGTTACCTCTGTACAGCAACGCACAGACCAGTGCTATACCACCTAGAAGAATGTTTGACAGGAAAACAATTTGAACCTGGCCGAGGGTGATAGTAATTTATTTTTAAAATTCACACTTCTTCAGTCCTCCTTCAGGGATCAGAAGAAGAATCGAGTTTTGGTATCAAGCAAAGAGTACACGTTTGATGATGATTTGAGAGTGGAGGAAACCAGGTTTTTCTGTTCCGTTTGTTATTTGGGTAAATCTGCTAATGTTAGCGGGGAGGAACTGTCTTTTCATCTTGATGACTCTCACTTCTGCTTCAAGGCAGAGCAGCTGAAATGAAGATCTCATGAGGGTTAACTGAAACGAGCATCTATCTAATGAGAGTTGGGTTGTATTTTGACACCTGAATTTCAAGTGAAAAATCCTACTTTTGATCAAGTTTTTTTCTTTCTTATTAATTTTAACACGTTGCCACACACTTTAAAAAAAAAATTTAATTTATTTGTGTGTGTGTGTTTACCATCAAATCAGATCTGACTGGTACAGGAGGAGTTTGCCCCTCCTTCTCCAGCAGAGCATCTGGTGGATTAGAGCCATGTGCCTCTGGGATTGCAGTGCAGCCTCTTGCCACTAGACCACCAGAGCTCCCTGCCAAACTTTTAAATTGACGA